TTTTTTTTTTTTTTTTTTTTGGTATCAGGATTCAAACTCAGGAACTTGTGCTTGTAAGGCAGGCAGCAGCACCACTGAGCTACATCCCCCTTGAGGATTCTTACCACCAACAACATAAACAATAGCATACACCGTGAGCTTGTGTACCTGTGCCAGGAATTGTGCTAAACTCTCTGTACGCACTGTCCCAGTCAATGCTCACAACAATGCTATTGGGCTATTCTTATTAATTCAGACAGTGAGAAATCAAAGTTGAACATATTAGCTGTTTGCTAATCGTCCATGGCTGTACACTAGTATTTGTGAGCAGAGTCAGGGCTTAGAATTACATCAAAGTACTCTATAAGTCTTTAAGAGAAGCTTTAAACTCAAGGCTTTAAATCAAATGAAATAATGCTACACTTTATCAAAACCAAGTAACTAAGAGAAATAACAGAAGAGCTGCTGGCTTCATGAAAGGATTGTTTAGTGACATCACAGGGTGTGTCAGGGTTCCCACCATAAATCCCTGTAGGAACTATACTCTGGGGTACATACTGCCTCCTGATGATGAGAAAATACCAGAATACGGATGTCTCCGTGAGCCAATGGGCCCCCTAATTACGTGAAATAAAGAAATATCAGAAGGAGAAGGACTTCAGAAACATCTGCGTCTGCTCTCTTCTGCCACAGTAAGCAAACCGGAGCCCTAAGGAGCCCTGTTCAGAGGAGCACGCGGCGGGGGCTTCACACATGCAGGCCCTTCAGCAGCACCGCTACTACTTTGTTTCCTGTAAAAAGGCGGCCTGCACAGAGACGATATTGAAACAGAAAGTTATATTCAGTGTGGGAAGACATCTGTCCTTACGGCACAATTTGCCAGTTGATATGTTTACATTTTTCTCTATTTCTACGGCTGCACCTGTGGCAGTAAAGCTACAGTCCTTTGCCATATATGGTTATTCAAACTTAATCACAATCCACGAAGTTAAAATTTGGCCCCACAAACACGCTAGTCATATTTCAAGGGCTCAAAACCCCGCAGACCGCAAGGGACTGCACCCGGGACATCTCCGCAGCGCGGAGGGATCTGCTGGTGAAGCAATTTCCACCTGAGTCCCCACCCCGGAGGACGGTGCCTGTACACGGCGAACCGCGGTTACGGGAGGGTGCGTGCTGTGGAGACCGTGAGCGACAGCGGTGCACTGCGCCGGCTTCTATGCAAAACAAACGCACCTGTGATCGATGAGGAGCCCGGGAGGGACACTTAGGCCACAGGACTCGGCGCTGCATCCCAGATCTCCACATTACCATACTTTAAACTGGGTGATGATTCACTGGTTTAGGGTTCACTGTAAACTTTCCTTGGTGTGGACAAGAGAATGTATTTTCTTTTGCTAGACATTTTGAAATTTTATGCTTCTGTTACCCTACAAAGGCAGAAAACAACTGGAAACACACACACACACACACACACACACACACACACCCCTCCTCCCGGGATCTACTCAAAATTCAGTCATAAGGAAATAATATGCTTTTAATGCAGTGTCATCAGATTTCAAATAATTTACATATGTTAATACAATTATCTAAAAATAAGGAGATACTAATATTTTGATTAGGTCAAAGAAATTTCTTTACACTTTTCATTATAGGCAATTAATTTGTTTAATTAATTATTATTACTTTGGTTTTTTGAGACAGGGTCTTGCTTTGTAGTTCAGGCTGGCCCTGAACTTACCATGTAGCCCAGGCTGACCTTGAATTCCTGGTGATCTTCCTTCCTCAGCCTCCTGAGTGCTGGGACAACTAATTTGTTTTAAATAGGCACTATTTAAATTTTAAAGTTAGAGATTCTCAACGCCTTCTCCTTATAATTGCAGCTATCAAACTTGTCCTACATTTTTCAGTAGAATATCTCTCTCTTTGCAGCTAAAGTCATCCTTCATGTTTCATATGGATATCCCTAAAAGTCAAACTCTATGTGTGAAAATTTTACAATGACAGAAAATTATTGGGCCGGGGATTTAGCTCAGTGGTTCTGCTGCCTGCCTTGCAAGCGCAAGGTCCTGAGTTCAACCCCAGGTACCAAAAAATTACTGGTAGAGGATATGCTAAGAAATGAAAGAGAGCATGGGACTGAGACTCAGTGGTGATCTGTTTGAAATACAAGTCTTGGTTACATGAGGATGCGGTAAATTTATTTTCAGTATATGAGTTACTGTCTAAACAACTTTTTCTCTCTTCCAATGCCTGCTGACCCTCTTCCCTATTTAAAAGTCATGAAATCTTTTTACAATTTGCTTATCCTTAACATCCACTATACTTTTACCTTATAGGAAGTGCCCATTAAATATTAATAAAGGATAACTATATATTAAATTATGAGTAAAATATTTATACTTTCATTTATCTCACGCATATAGCACCTACTAAAAGCAATTTTTTAAATACTGAAATTTTTATAAAGCAGAAGTACTCATAATCCCACCACCCCAAAATAAAAGATATAGTTCTTTCATTTTCGGCCACTGTGAATATGACTGCGTGTGTGGGGAGCAGATGTACAAAATAAACTCTCTGATTTTCTGAGTTCATAGTTATTGTAGGGAAGGCGATATACTTACATGTTTTGCACTTTCTTTTTTATATTTGGAAACATACACATTTTCTAGGGTATCACTAGATCTATTCTATCAGCCTTTTCCTCTCTGCGTGCTGTTTCAGTGTACAACTCATACAGCATGGTTCATTTAGCCACTCAGCTCTCACTGGACAGAGGCTGTTCAGGCTGTGCAGAACAGTCAGATGGAGCAGGTTTACAGATCACCAAACTCGGCTGTACTGCATGGAATGGACAAGCGCATTGACGTGTGTCATCTTAATTCAGAGTGGTTGATGCTTTGGAAATGGTGAGAAACAGAGTACACATTTTCAAAATTCACAGAATTAGTAAACCAAGTGCCTCTACTCTTGTTACTGGTCTCTGTGCCTGTGGCCATCCTGGTGCCTCAGTCTGGTGTTCAGTAAAGACTGTGAGTTATCCGAAGAACAAGAAAGATGTGCTTTTCTCCATGTTACAGATGCATCAACAGGCCCCGTCTGTGAGGGGACCAATTTCAGTGTGAAACTGTACAAATACGCTGACAACTTATTCTCCATGCTTCACATATTTCTTCAAGTATATTTAGTCCTTGCTACAGTGCATACTTCTGTGATCGCTTCTTCTCATCATTTTGGACACTAGCACCTGTCCTGCACTTTATCAGTGTAGTGTCCTATCAATGTCCAAAAGCCTAGGCCAACAGACACACAAACAGTGTAAGCCGTTATAGATTCAGTTCAGAACCATAGAAACATTATTCTGTAGCTGAATAATTAGTACCTATCAATTGTGAAATGTCCCTTTACTAGATAGCTTTCACATATTCTTGAAGATTAGTCAACACCACTAAAGAAGCCGATGTTTCCCTTCCTATTTTCTTAGATACAATCTACTAAGGAAATGCATCATTAGATCATGATCAATTTAAATGATAAATAAGTTTGAAAATATTTTAGTATTTCTGCATTAATATACATCATTTCAATTAAAAATACCACGCCAAATTCTACCTTGACTAAACAATGAAATCAAAGAATGGTGTTTATGTTTGAAAAAGTCATGCTTCTCAATAGGTTGATTTTCCTTAAATAATATTCTTTAAGCTACTAACATGATTATTTTATAAAAAAGCATAAATGTAAATTCCTTGGACAACAGATGTTTGAATGGATGGAGTTAAACTAAATATCTGTGTGCATTCAGGGGCAGAGAGATGGATCAAACGGAACCTCATAAAGGTACAGTTGTTTTAAAATACACTTAGGTGAAATCTTAAACATTCTTGAGGAAAGAGAGCCTATGCAATAACTATTACCTTCAGTTTTTTAATCACTTCTTAAAAAATATCAAAGACATGACATATTCTTAGAACATTCAAGCAATCTACGCTCACGATTTCCTCTCCCACCACTGAGCTCTTCTCAAGTGTGGCTTACACTCTGATAGTCTATGAGCAGGAAGCCTAGTGCAGGCTTCATGCATGGCAGACATCTCAACAATGTCAAGGGGGAGAGCAATTCCAATGGTTCAATCGCATTTTCATTAATGCTATATCAACATATTCTGCTAAAACACGCACTTGAGAATTTCACATTTCCCTAGACCTATGCAATGTACAAAGTCAGGATGGTATGTTTGAAACATCATGAAGATGCCAAAAAAGCTGCAAATTTCTCTCTTTTATATGTATGAAATTTAAGACTCAGACAACTATATAAGTAGATCTGACATCAACACATATGCTTCGCCCACAGAGAAAACACAGATCCCCTATTCGGAACACGGATGCCTGTGGACTCTGTCCCCTTTCCTGCCTCATCCTCCATCCAGGGCACTGCAGGCAGATCCAGTCTGTAAAGGAACAGCACTCCCTCTGCTAATGTGAGGATGACCCAGCAAGGTTTCTGCCTTAATTTCTCCCCTCCTTCTGTGCATCAGAGGCAGAAAACGCGGGAACCTTCAATGACAAGTAACTTCAGGAAGAGTGGGAGAGGAGAACCAGAATTCTGTTGCTATTAAGTGAATTAGCAAGTACAACTTTGCTGTTCCATTTTTGGTAGTGAGGGAAGCAGAAATGAAGAGAATAAGAATGAAAAAGAGAATGTATTGGATAATACGGTTGACTTTATATTTGGGATAATTCTGAGGAACAGAAATAGAACTAGGGAAAGTGAAAAGACAGTTATCTTGAAATAAATACCCAACACTCTTGAGTATTTAGTTTCTTAGTTTTAAAATAATTTTAAATTTTATTAGTGCATATTAATTGTGCAGACTAATGAGTTTCCTGTGGGCAGTCTGCATGCACGGGACACACCTGGACTGCTTTCACATCCTCGCCGTCGCTTCTGCCTCTGCCCGAACCTTTGCTGGCTTCCTGTCTCCTAACAGTTATTTTGTAAAGACTCAGACAACATCCCACTTGTCTCTGTTATCATTTCTGGGAACTGCGGCTGTAGCCACACACGGTGCCATGGGTCAGAGTAAAGCAGCCACAGACAAGAAACACATGGATGGGTGCGGCCGTGCCCCAGTGAAACTGTTCCCTAGACAGCGCACGACAGGCTAGCCCTTGCAGTACAGACCACGCATCACTGGACATATATGAGATTACTAGAAGTAGCAGGATGTGGGGTAGAGAAAGGATGTATATTTTCTTTCTTTTTTTTTTTTTTTTTTTTTTTT